GAGGATCTGCAATTTTATTGGAGGTGACTGTGTCCATTACAGTTACTGAAGTACTATAGCTAGAGTTCCATACTTCAGAACTCCACAAAAGGCCTGTCTTCTAGAAACAGTGAGGACCCCAAGGTATGCACTGAACATCTGAGTGTGGGTGGAAACATGATCTTCAGCTGAACAGAATTTTTTTTTTTGTGATGAAAGGAAATAATAAATCTTATGGTGGATGCCATCTCATGGAGTAATGGTTACTAAGCTAGTCTAAGAGAGATTTATTACTTTATAAAGATTTTAATTCTCAATGAATGTACTGCACTTGTGGCAAAGTTTAGTAAATATTTACATATCCCATAGAACCATTTGGAATGCATTTAAAACAAGTTTGCCCATACTCTCAAACATAACTGCATATTGCTAAGACTTTACTATATTTTGAAATTTTTACAGTTATTATTGTTGTACTCTGCTCTTTTGCAAGTTGGTCTTTTCATCTCCGGTCTTTGTAAAACATATTTTGTGCAGTTTGCCGTTGTTATAAAGACACCGTCACTTGTCGTTGTTAATTATAGTTATCTCCCTTGCATACAAAAATTATGCTTGACATATTGTATAGTAACATTATCAATGGCATTCCTAATAATAATGATGATGAAGAAATATCAATTTCTGATAACAGTGAATATTACTAAAATAAAAAATTTAATCCTATTTAAGGTTAATTAAATGAAATCAGATTAATCTGATGCCAATCAAAATATATTGGCAACTGTCAATTTATAGAGCACATTCAGAAAAAAATTTCCACAATTTACAAACATGGCAGGATTCAAAGACTGATTTAAAATCAGAAAAACAAATTAAAAAAAATAATTAGCCAGTTAATCCCCACCCCCACCAGATTAGATGTAAACAATTTTATTGAAATCAAAATAGCAAATTCATTATTTTGCACATTTTACCAGGCAATATTTGAAAACAAAGTTTAATTAGAAGATACAGATCTTTTATCATTTTTAAAGACATTTTCTTCTGGAAAGTGTGTATCATCTACATTATTATTTAAGAAGAATATCTTGCAGCAAAATAATAGTTTAGTTATCCTTTACCTTGCTAAGAATAAAATCCAAGGCAGATTGACATTTCTTGGGGGATGATCAAAAATCAAAATACAATTAATTTCACTTTTAGGTGAAAATGCAGTTTGCATTTTCTTTGAAAGAAAAAAAATTCAGAGTCAAGATTTGGTTATTAGGCACAAAAGTTATGCGCATAACGTTTTTTTTTTTTTTTTAGTCAATTATTTCAATCATGTTCTTCCATAGATTTTCATAACCACACATCCAAATGTCTTTACTTCTCCAATTTAAATCTGATAGGAGAGTTTATAAAAAAGTAAAAATAAAAACCCAACATTTTGAAATGTCTTTAAAAAGCCACCTTAATAAATAAAAAAATTAGTGCAGAGTTAAATGGCTCTTAATGTTTGGAAATTTGTTTCTTTCAAAAGAATTGCATTTAAAGGCCATGTAAATAGTTTTACCATTTGTATATCATATATTATGAGTACACAAATGTAATGGCATGAATAGGAAGATAGGATGCAAAAAGACCAAATAAAAGATTCAGATTTTCTGCCTGCTAAGACAACACCAAAAACTATATTCATGGTAATAATAGAATTTAAAATAAACCATGAAAATATTTTAGTGTTATCAATTTTCTTCCAAAGAAATTACTGAACTTAAAAAAATCATGCACACAATAACAGGAAAGGGTTATGCTTTGAAATTAAATAGTTTCTTGCTACACCCCAATTTGTGTGATAATGTCAAAAACTGAGAAAACCAATTATCATTAGACTTTTGTTCCTCATCAACATATGTTTTGGAAAGGTACAATGTACAAGAGATATTTCTAAAGTAATGCCTCTTATTTATTTTGATGGAAACTACAACAGAAAGAACACTGTTGCATAGAACAAATTTGCAGTTACAAAGACATTATTTTTCTACAAAGTCATCTGTCATTGGCTGTGCATTTTAGACAGCAAGGAATATTTTGTGGCATGACAATTGTGCAGGGCCATCCAGAACATGTCTTGTTGCACACATGATTGAAACAAGTTACCCACTGCTTGTGTTCATATGCACAGTTTGGTCTCCATAAAATACCTGAAAGTGTCAATGAATGTCAACAGGTGCATTTTTTTTTCTTGGAGGAATTCAATGGTATACCTCTACTTTGTATGCACTTTTATGTCAGATGTTATTTTGTCAGTTATCTGTAACACAGAAAAAAAAAAAAAAAAAAAAGAAAGTTATTGCCAGGAATGTTAAACATCTATTGACATACCACCAAAATTTTAGGACAACAATCAAATAGAAGATATTACTTCTGGGATGATCCTCATATTTAACATCTAAAGTCATTTCAGTTCTGGATCAAGCTTAATCATGATAGAAATCAAATGAGCCATATCACTTGGTCTTATATTTGAAAATTAAGCAGTCCTATCTGATAGACAAAATAAGTGAAAGAACAATAATTGATGATGAAATGTAATAAAGTTCTTTACTAATAAAAATGGTCATTTATATATAAGCAGATTCCAAGCAGCTGCCAAAATAAATAAGAAAAAGAAAAAAAAATTCAAACCAAATATTTCTGGGATCAGAATTTGAGGGAATATCAAATATCACAAAATCTGCATGTATTTCTGGAAACTTGTTCAATGAAAGTAGATTTCAGATAAAGAATAATAGTTTTGTGAAACCAATTTAGATATTTTGTTAGGTAAGATGATTTAATCATTGTATATGGTTTTCTTCAAAACAATTTCTCCACCTTTGTTTTAGGTCACCTCTATCCTTTCTATAGCCTAAAGAAAGCTACAATGACAATTTACATATATTTTATAGTTTTTAGCTGCACTTTCAATAAAACAAAAATTTGGCTATCTTCAAATTTTGCAAGAGTTTATCAAGATAGTGAATAAGTATGATAAAGAAGGTACCGTTGAAAAAAATTTTAAAGAAAAAAAAAAAAAAGCCGACTAAACATTTTGCTAATAAATTCAAACAAAATATCAGTTTTGTTTGCAAGTAACAACTGTGACATAAGTTACTTAAATTGTATAGAATATAGTTCTGTAAACTTTATATCCATTTTAGATTTAGAATTAGAGGCAAAAATACTTGTTTAAAGAATTCAACTCATAGAAAATTCAGTTTAAAAATCAGTTATTTGAAAACTTTCATTTTCACTTGAAGATATAATTTTTATATTACTTAGATGTTTTATTTTTGAAAAAAGTATCTCCCCAATATGGAAAAATAATTGCTATTCAGTTTATGTTATGCAATTACAAGCTTTTGGCAAAGCTAAGCAATATGTATAAATGTTTCATTTGTGTAAATAATTTGCAAAGGGATGAATTTCTTTTCAGATATTCTTCAACCAATTCTTTTCCATATCATTTTATATTCTATAAAATCAAAAATCTTAAGACAAAAGACAGTCTTTCATGCTCACCTAACAAATCACAAAACTCAGTTTGTTGAATAGAGTCAATCAAGTATAAAAATACATAACAATGAACATTAGAGAAACTGAACTGGCTTTTTGGAAAATAGATTTTTAAGTACAGAAAATGGAGAAAAGTTGATTGCAGAAGTCAGCCTACAAAGATTTATTTCTTTGTACAACCTTTAAATTCTGCTGAATTAAGTCATTAAACTATTTGACTGATAGGGATTTACTAAGTCAGTACAGGAACTGAATTAACAAGGCATCAGTAACTTAAATTCAAAAAGGCAATTAAGCATTTTCACAAGTAGATGAAGGTTCCATTTGCTTATAAAGATCTTATTTTTTAAAAACAATTTACAAAAAAAAAATAAAAATAAAAAAAAAATATCAATAGACATTGTGTTTATGTGGGGGAGTGCTGTGTAATTGGTTATCACTTTATTTATTCTGACCAGCCTGACTTAAAAAAGAAAAAATGAAGCAGACAAAAGAATTACTGATTAAACAAAAAGCAAGTAACAAGACAATTATTTTAAAATTACAGAGCAACAGGAAGAAAAACAAGAAATTTGAGGCAATTACAGAGAGGGAGGGAGGGAGAGAGCGAGCGGAAGCGTATGAGCAAGATCAAAAACCGAGGGAACAAAATTAATTCTTATTGATATTGTATCAATATTGATCAAGAACAGCCAAGATGTCATAACCAGAAGTGAGAAGATTCAGAAGGGATTTTTTTTTTTCATATATTTTTTTTGGGGGAGGGGGGGGGTCAATTCTTCAGGTTTCATTAACAAAAGTAACTTTACATATAGTGTAGATAGCATGACAGTTGTAAATTCTTTGAAGGGAACAAGTGTATATGGATGGTAGCTGTTGGGGGAATTGGATGTGAGGTGGTTTCAACAATCACATTTTGGCTGGGCAGTCAAACGAAACAGAATCAAATATTTGCAAAACAAGTCATTTATTTTTATTATTTCTTCTTTTTTTTTTTTTAATTTTTGCCATATTCCCTTTTTTTTTACTTTTTAAATAATTTGTTTAAAATTTGATAAAGGGTAGTCTTCCTTTTTTTTTTTTTTTTTTTTCTTTTTTAAATCCCTTTATTTGTTCGAAATTTGTTTCCAATCTGCTTCATTGTATTCATCATTGTATTGACATTATGTCACATGTAAAACAGCAGCTTTGCTAATAACTGTAATAGGTTGAAGATATTTTTTAGACTTCGCAGTGTGCTTGTCTGTCTGTTTGTCCCAAAGGTGAGCAAGTGTCCGGCCTACAACAGGGCAGCTTCAGCCTTTACTCCTTCCAGCTAAAATTATCTCTCATTTTAAGAGAAATATTAAGTAGAAAACGGTGAAAGAAAAATTAACATAAAATTTTAGGCAACAAAATTAAGATAAAATAGATATGTGGAACTGGATGGCAAGGTGGAGAGAGAAAAAAAAAAAAAAGGAAAAAAGGAAAGAGAGATAAATTTAAGCTTCAGCTTTTACAGCTTGTTGCCCTGGGGGCTGGGGCACAGTCTCTCCAGTGGGTGTACTAGCCTCATCTGGCATGACACACTTCCACAGACCATACGTTTTCCCAACTGTTGTCTGCCACAGGCGAAGGGTTCCATCTTCGCTTCCACTGGCATAAAGTTCACCATCTGGTGAAAAACGGACACAATGAACAGGGCCAAAATGACCCTTAGAAGATTCTGAAAAGAGAAAGTAAAAAGGAGAAAAAAATAAAAAGATTATAAGTTGTATCTGACATTAGCCATTATTATTATTGCTACATTAAAAATAAATCAACACTATTTTATTTATAAAAATATTTAAATGTTGCATTTAATATTTTGAACCTTACTAAATATTTGCTTAAAAGTCACTGAAAGTCAATGTTTATTTTGTGAAAACTAGTTTCCTCATGTCATAAAAATTAAATGAAAGTTTCACATGGGACTTTTTAATAGTATATAAATAAAATGCTAGTGCAAGGATGACCCCCAAATTAAAATCACTTGACAATAAAATTATTTGCAAATAATTAATCCAATTCTACTTACATTTAAAATGTAGTTAGTTACACTTTTAATTTTACAAATTCTTCATCAACACGAGCTCAATATTAAATGAATTTTAACTTAAATGTATACAATTTAGAAAAATTGTTTTTATAATAAAATGTGGAAAAGTTTAATAATTTTTGCATAAAATAATGATACAATTTCTTTAAAAATTGACATATTTGTATTAAAAATTAACTTTTTAATACAAAATACAGGCACCTTTATTTTATGCAGCAAGTAGTAATCAATTATATCAACACTTAAAATCTAAGCTCTATTAGATTCATTCAAAGCAAACTGAAAAGACAATTCTGGTTTATTTTATCAACTATTTTGAACCTTGTTTGTAGCATTACATGATAAATGTTCAAAGTTATTTACAGCTTATTTTTTGAGCCAACATTTGTGATACTAAATTAAATTTTGATGAGGTCTGTTATTTGCTGTGCATCTTCTCAAGGCTGAAAATATTAATGTTGAAAATCAATTTTAAATTCCTGACTTACCAATTTCGGTCCCAGTTTCATAATCATATTTGTACATTTTAAAGTCTTCACCTCCACATACAAATACATTTTTCTGATGGTGAAGAGAAGCTGAGTTCAATGCAGTTGGAGCCTCAAATTCCTTGATTTTTTCAAATCTTTAAAGAAAAAAAATGATGACCTATTATAGCAAAACACAGTAATTAAAAAAGATGATTGGTGAATGATAGTCATTTAACAGTAAACCATGAAAATGACAAAAGATTCCAGAAACAAGTAGGGGAAGGGGGATAGTAAGGTACTTACGTTTCTGTGTTCCAGAAACTTGTGACACATCCACTAGTAACAACCAAAACAGTACCATCTCTTGACAGTTCCAAGCTGTTTGGGATATTTGAGAACTCAAGCAGTTTGATTTCACACTCATTATTCACATCCCAAACACTATGAGCAAAAGAACAAACACATATACAGAAAAATTGTCTAACTGACATTGTTTAAAAGCAAAGTAATTCTGAATAACATGCTTATAGGTAACCAATGTTTGATTACCAGACGAAGAACAATTTACTGTAATTCCCCCATGTATAATATGCCTTCATCCATAATACGCACACCTAAAATTGTGCTGAAATTGTTGGAAAATGCTTCTACTCACGCATAATACGCACACCTTGTTTGGTAATTAAACCCTATAAATCATACCTCTCCAATTAAACCCTATAAATCATACCTCTCCAATTAAACCCTATAAATCATACCTCTCCAATTTCATTACAATTTCATTTCCTACTCTTATTTAAAAATGGTTTTAAATATAGAATAATATTATCCTAATTTAGTTTTGTGATAATTCTTATTTTATTTTATAGCAGTTCTTAATGATTTTTTGTAGCTGTGCATAATACGCACCCCTGATTTTGCTTATTATGTTTTTAGAAAAAATGCATATTATACATGGGGAATTACAGTAGTTAATATTTCAATATTTTATTCAGGTCACCTTCAGGAAATTTCTTTTCTTCTAATTTATAGATGTATGTCTATGCTGGAAAATTTCATCAGAAAGTAACTAAAATCAAAATCAATGAGGGACAGAAACAGAAAAACAAGATTACTAGTAAAACATACCAGCAATAGACTTTTAAATGACAAGTCTAATACTGATCATAAAAATTTAGTAATACTATCATGAAAATGATAGTGGTTTTTGTTTTGTTTTGTTTTTCATTAATATTACTCCTACTATAAAATATCTGAGGCAAGAATTCATCTACCACAGATAATAATCAGTTATCCAAGATTACTCTAAGACCACTGCTAGAATATATGTGATTATTCACTTCTAGCAAAATTGGTACATATTTGTTACCAATTATTTACATTATTCAGACTATTGTCCTCATCTTTGTCGCCATATTTATTACGTTTCAGCCGTTGTATGCTCCGGCCTTCTTCAGGTGGTTGGAATGTCAAACTGAACTCTTTATTTCAATCATTGAGGTAGACTGTTCTAGTTCCACGTGCCATGTTTAATGGGTATCACTTATCAGTTATCTCCTGTTAATTTCCCTCTGAAAGTTTTCCACTGCCTTAACTGGGTATTGAACTCTCACTTGAGGACATATGGCACCAAATGATACAATTATCATTACAAATGTACCAAATGGTTTCCTCATGTGTTTCACTACAAAAGACTTTACGACTAAGTGGAATAGACTTGAAGTTGGAATTGCGATGGGATGTACAGTGTCACCAATACTTTTCGTTCTAGCAATTCAGCTGATTCTCAAAGCAACAAACAACAAGGCTGATGTTGTTGAGCTTGGTGGAGGTTGTCAAATGCCACCAGTGATGGTGTTCATGGATGACACTACAATCTTTCATCCAAAGTAAGTTCAACTCGCAAGATATTAAGCTTGATGGACGACCTGATAAGTTGGTGTAGAATGAAATTTAAACCAAACAAGTCCAGAAGTCTTTCCCTTACAAAAGGAAAGTTGAATAAAAACAAATTTTGTAGTAGGTGGCCAAAGAATCCCTACTGTATCAGAAAAATCAGTGAAAACTTTAGGTCGGTGGTACGATCAATCCTTAAGATACCAACCAAGTAAAAGAAACATCCAGATCTCCATAAGATAGATCTTTGTCCTCTAAAAGGAAAATACAAGGCATGGTGCTTAGAGCATGTGCTCATTCCAATGCTACTATGGCCCATACTTGTGTACGAATTTGGAATGAGTACAATTGAGTCAATGGAAAGGAAAATAAATAAATATATTCGGAAATGGTTGGGTTTGCTTCCAGGTTTGTCTGATATCGCATTGTACTGCAGACAAGTAAAACTAAAGTTGCCATTTAAATTGATTGTGGAGGAGTATAAATCTGGAAAAATTAGACTTCAAATGATGTTGGATGACTCCAAGGATAAAGCAATAAAAGATTTAAAGCCTACGTTAAAAACAGGGAGAAAGTGGAAGGTCAGAGAGATGATAACAAATGCTAAAGACAATCTAGCTTTCAATGAAGTCATCAGATACACTCAAGCAGGGAAACAAGGGTTAGGACTAAATGAAAGGAAATGGTGGTCGAAAACTTCTGGTAAAGATTGCCGTGACATGGTCATCCAAAATGTAATGAACGAAGAAGATAAAAAAAGACTTGTAAAAGGAGTGCAACAATCCCAACAAGGTCAATGGACAAACTGGGAGGAGGCTCTGCAGAAATCTATTACTTGGAATGACATTTGGCAGATGGCTCCACTCAGGTTGAGTTATTTAATACGTTCCAAGTATGACCTGCTACCATCTAAGAACAATCTTGTTAAATGGAAGAAAAAGAGTGATCCTACTTGTCCCCTGTGTGAGGAAAATCCACAAACATTAGAACATGTTCTTAGTTCCTGTAAAACAGCCTTTATCAATGGAAGATATACATGGAGGCACAATAGTGTTTTGGATGAGCTGGTCAAAATTATAAAGAAATATATGAAATCTGAGTCATCTAATTCAACCCAGAAATTTGTTGCAGAAGGAAAAAGATATGTCAGTTCTAAGCAAACAAGCAAATGTCAAGCTATACCCGGAAAAAATCTCCTTAGTTCTGGTGGTATCTGGGAGGTATCTTCAGACCTTCCTGGTTGGCGTAATGGTTACCCCAAAATAATATCAAGTAAAGGTCTGCAACCAGATATTGTTCTTCTGTCAACGGTGAACTATAAAATCATCCTGGTTGAATTAACAGTAGCATATGAATGCCGGATGGAACAAAGCCACGATTATAAAACTAATAAATATGAAAATCTAAAATCAGAGCTAATAAAGGAGGGGTATAATGTAATTGTTAGAGCAGTGGAAATTGGAGCAAGGGTTTCGTTTCAGGCACTCTGTACCAATTTCTGGGCCAAATTGGAATCAAAGGGCATAATAGGGCCAAAAATATAAAACACCTAATAGAAGTAACTGAAAATAGTTCTATGTGGATATGGAAAAAAAGAAATATTCCGTGGAGTGTTTCAGCGAACATGATAGCATGACATGACTGATCATAAATGCGTAATGAGGTTCATGTTGCATTCTCAGAACGTGAGGTTTGCCATTTTTCGGAATTTTCGTAAATTTAATTTCGCCGTTAGACATTTGAACTAGTTTATCTACAACACACTTGCATATTGTTATAATGGGGCCTCACATCAGTGAGGGGGGCCGGTGTGCAACTGAAACCGTTGAGAGGAAGGCCCCGAAACGGTGCACATTCTCTCCTGATGACCCCAGTTTAAATATAAATTCAAGAGGAACACATCAAAAGAAATTCAGTGAAGTCATATGCTGTAGAGAAGCTCAGTGGAAGTGTCATTGGCATTACACATGTGTCATTACACATTCAGTTCGCTTCAGGTGAGTTTCAATTACTTTCCAGTAATTTCCTTCTTCCATAGTGGATAAAGGCGTTGGTTAGATTCAGTGACAGGATCCAAAGAGTGTGAGTTCAATATACATAATACCTCCTCTCAGAAATATAGACAGATATTGTTGCCACTTATCTATAGAAACAGACTGAAGCCATATTGTACACACATTACTTTTCAATATATCACATTCAAAGTATCAGAAATTATCTTGATTATTTCAGTCATATTATTATTCTTGAAATATTTTCAACAATATTGAGTAAGTAATCTGCCATTTCTAATATATTTTAAGAAAATTAATGATATTCTCATATCACTTTAAAACTAATAGAAATTATTAGCACAGTACTCAACAGAAATGGAGTTCTTTACATTTGGAGATAAATTAAGATTTAAAGAGAAAAATTTATATATTAAACAAAATTAATTTTTTCTGAGAACTTAAATTTCTTTACATTTTTTTTAATGGCTTTAAAACAATATGACAAACATTGTTAGCTGCATTAGCAATTAGGGGTATTACTGCCAGCAAACATACATGCAAACACTATTTTAGAAATCAGTGTATCTGCCCTTGAAGGACATTTAGAGCATTTTTTGTTCAATGCTGTTAACTGACAGAAACTGTCATCATTGCAGGTCTATGGCTCAACTTCAAATAACTGACTTTTCTGCCTAAGTTAATATGACAAAATTTTTTTAAACAAAATTACATACCAATTGATGATAAAAGACACACAGCCAACAAGGAATATCTTTCAAAATCAAGAACAATAAAAATATAAGGCTTAAAAAAATAAATTAGCAAGGCTTCTTTCAAAACTAAAAATGCACATCACTTACCGAACTGTTTTATCATCAGCGGCACTAAATATTTGACTTCCATCTTTACTAAAGATTGCACCTTTCATTGAATCTTTGTGACCCCCTATAACTTTGGGTTCTGAAAAAGGTTAAGTAAAATAATAATTTACAAGCAGAAATTTTCCATACAAATAAATAGCTGCATTATATAAATATCTATAATTGTTTAAACAATATTTCTTATACAAACATAAGTAAATCAGGATATATAATATATATATATATATATATATATATATATATATATATATATATATATATATATATATATATATATATATATATATATATAATGGATAATGGATAGCAGCTTGGATTGAGGAATCAGAGAGCAGAGTTCAAATCCAGTTTCATTCACTCACATGCTAATACCCTTGAGAAAGGTGTGAATCCTCTTCTTTTCTGTCCAACAATGGGTAAATAGCAGGATAGACTAGGTTCTATAGCCTTGGCATTCTAAAACAACTCTGAATTCAAAACCTGTCAAGGTCGTTTGGGGACCTTGTGGTGCGTGGTGCACCAGGTCTCTGTATTCGGCCCTTCAAAAAGTGTGGATGGTCCTGCACAAAACCATCACCACTATAATCAAATCTCATGTGCTGTTGTCAGGCTGTCGGTTTCCTAGGAACTGATCTGCTTGACCCTCATACATCAAATTCAGAGAGTCAAATGTGTATGTGTGTGTGTGTATATATATATATATATATATATATATATATATATATATATATATATATATATTAAAATAATGAGAAAGGACAATAAGATTTATAATCTGGTGTTCTTATTTTTATTTTTAAAAAACAGTGCTCAATACAATTCTGTAGAGCATAAACATAAATTTAAAAAGTATGTTCCCATCACTACACAGGAATTACCAGGTTTCAAAAACAGAAACTAAAACTTTAAATTTAATTATAGAATTAAATTAAAATCCCCAGTACTATTTCATTATCAAGTGATTTTTGGAATAACTTATTTTGGAATTTACTGAGATTATAAGCACATACATTCTTGATATTAGTTGCTAAGGTTACAGGAAATACAATCATTTTAATAAGGGGTAGTAGGGTATTCATTTTCATAGACAACCTGTGTTACTTCAAAATCAGGTTAAGTTAAAGTAAGGTAGCGGTGCCTGTTCAACATTGATGACATTCATTTTTCACATGTAGTCTGGATTTTTTTCAATGACAAAGTTTTTTGGCATTTTTATTTTGCCTTTTAATTTATAATATACAAAGATTTTTTTCAAAAGGGTCATTTGAATATGAATATGTCATATATTTAAAATCTATTTCTACAATTTTAAATTATCATTCCTAATTTTAATTATTAATAGACTATGTTTTTCTTAAATAAATATATTAGAATTACTTTTTTAAAAATTATTATTCAAAGATCAAGTATAAATATGTATGTTGCATTTTTCGTCTTTTTTTTTCACATTCAATCATTATTTAAGGAAAATCTTTGACAGTATCTGCAAAAAAATAGCTATTTCATTTCTTTTTTGATTAAGCAAATTTATATTTTTCCTAAACTTAATGTATAATTTCTCATGTATGCACAAATGACATGGGTCATTTAATAACCAACAAACTCTAGTTTTTCTTATTGATTTCCATTTTAAAGTAGGCATTTTATTGGTTTTCTTTAAATGCCAGAAATATTTAGATAGGAATGCCTGATTTCAGTATTTAATTATTTTAAAAAAACTTTGATGTTGTTTCCAACGTATTTTTGAATTCATGTCTTGTGCATCCAATGTAGACTAACTTTGTCTGGATCCACAATAGATGAGATATTGCACTGGTACACTAATGATTCAGTGCAGCATTTATTATTAAGAGAACCATTTTGAGGATTTCTAGTTTTCTTTATCTTCATTTCTTTTTATTATACTCTCTAAATTTGTTTGATTTTGGTCTAAGTGTTTACTCAAGACATTAGCATTATGTTTCTTAATAATCATTTATAAGTTTTCAGTATAACTGTAACTTAATTTTAGGGTATTTTTATTAAAAATTGTACTGAGTTTACTATCTCTAGGAAAATGTTTAATGATTAATGCAAGGAAATTTTGTCCTAATTTATTTTTTACCATTTGGTTCATACAACCAAATGGTAAAAAACAAATTAGGACAAAATTTCCTTGCATTAATCATTAATGTAAAGGATTTTTCTACTTCTGTTTTTTCTATGGTTTCCACTTGCATTATTTATATAACTGAGTTTTGGGCATTTGTAGACACTATTCTTTAGAGCTTTATTATAGAATTACTATGTTCATAGAAAATTTTCTAATTTGCTGAATTTATACTTCTTTTTGATAAATAAAGAGATGTTTAATTATAGATAGAGGATGATTAGACTTAGGGCATATATACAAAGGATTAGTATTGGGTTTTTTATAAGGTATGTATATATTATTCATTAAATCTAATGTTATATCAAAGTAGTTCACCTTTTTCAACTTAGTACTTACAGTAATTTTCAAGTTCAGGTATTTAAATTTAATAATAGTTTTCTAATTTTAAAGTTTATAGAATTCTTTATAACCATAAGCCCATTATCTCAGTACAATCCAATGTCATTTATACTAATTTTGCGATATGCTGTGAGATTGTATAATATAAAAAGACCTATGAAGTCAGAAGACTCTGCAGAGTTCAACGATCCCAATGTGATGTCAAAGTGGTCATTAGAGTTTTTAATCCATTGCTCGCCCTTATATATGAGTACCGATTTTTTTGCATTTATAATAATTTGCTTTTCTCTTATTATGTTATGTCAGAGCATTGGGTAGCAAAATCCATAATATTCGTGAAATGTTCCTTTGATATCAATTGGTAGTAATTCTCAATATCAAACTGTATTAGTGTACAATTTGTTTTCTCTTTGATATTAGTAAACCAATTAGTTACTTTGGTATTAATCCAAAGTTTCAATCCTAGGTAATGAAATCAAAGTACTATAGACTGGCTCGGAAACTTCTGATTTAAATCCAATCAAAAATCTGTGGTCAATCTGCAAGGAACAACTTTATGGAATGGACATACTTATGTACTAACATATGTACTGTCATCTTTCATTGGAAAAAAATACAAAAAAGTAAATAATGGAATTATTTATTTTGTTCCAATTAATTTGCACAGGGGTGTAAATTTTGTAGCAATGAGATCAATGACACTGCTGTTGAAACCACCAGTTCCAGCAAATAGGAAATAATCCACATACATCACAAATATACTTTTTATTTTCCCCATTGTTATAAAATCTAAAAGATTTAACCAACCCAGATTGCTTATAATTCAGTCTAGTAAGGTGAATTTTGACAACAAAGTAGCAATTTTGAGATGTGTTATCTCATACTACTTTGTCTAGCTTCAATATTACAACTTCATTTACTTCTATACATGGTATGACAAATATATCTATCATGCTGCCTGTCTTGTAAAAATGCAGTTTTAATGTCAATTGTCTCACATTTCCATCCTTGGCTTGCAGCTATTGCCATAACAATTTGATGTGTGGACTTATAAGTTGTTGGAGAATCTGATTGAATCTTTGCTTCTTCCAAACCTCTTACAACCAATCTTGCTTTTACTAACTTCTTTCCTTCAGCTAAGGGTTTTTCAATCACTACCTAATGTGCTGATAGTGTCTTTTGACTATTGTTTTGTACTTCTTTATAAGCATGAAAACTATTCCAATTCTTTAACTCCTGTTCTTTGGCTCATTAGTACAAAGACCAAATTTGCTTTTTTGTCAGTATTCTCTTTTATACACAAAACGCAATCTTCCCAAATTCCATTATAATCACAGTTTCCATTGGTCTTTTCTTCATTTCTATTCTTAATATCTTCATCTACCTCACAAATTCATACTCAATTTTATCCAGGTGCATTCCCTACATTTGTTTCTCCGTGCCATTAATCACATTCACATCGTACTTATTTCTTCCAATAGATTTTACTCCTCTACTTATCAATTTAGCACAAATTCACTCCTCACTTTCTGGTAAGTGGTATCTGATTCTTTCAACACTAAAAACAATTTTTAATCTACAGCAATCCCAACTTGAAGATTTACATGGTTAGGGTTGGGGATGAGCAAAATACAACTTCAACAAGAATACAAAAAGGATCCCAACCTGCATCGTGTTTCTCTAAGTCGAAAATTTTGAGTTTCTTTTCTTGGCTGGCCGTGAGCAGAAATTTGCTATCACGAGAAAAGTCTACTGACTTGACAATGTGTTTATGAGAAAATGTATGAAGTTCATCTCCACTAACTGCATCCCAGATTTTCCTAAAGAAGAGAAAATTTCAAAAAGACAAGAAGTAATCAAAACATTGAAAGATCAAAAATTACTATTCAAGCTCATAAGTCTAAATAGTTTTGTATTTTTATTACAAATCAATAAGCACAATGATTGTCCTATTAAAAACTAAGCCCATATTATGAACTTCCGACAATATTGAATTTCTTAAAAATGTAGAGCAAAAAAAATATTTATATTGTGATAAGACTTAAAATTATGTACTCTATAAAGTATTTCTTTCTGAGTACATTTATGAAGACAATAAATTACAATGTACTACATTTGATTGATTGCCCAAGCAACTGAGAGCTAACTTCAAAGACATTAAAAATCCCTCAACAAGCTTGGAAAAAAAAAAAAAAAAAAAAAAAAAAAAAAAACTGAAAATGTTTGCATCAGTTTTCATTTCAACCAGAATTCCATGTTTCTAATCAAAAAACAAGTTTTCCAAGCATTTCTGATTTTCATCCTTCTGAAAAAAATGTTGGGTCATCAATTTGAAAATTGAAATAATATAAAATTTATTGATCTAAGAATAATATTTAAATCATTCAAAATCTTTTGTCATAGAAGAACAAATTGTTTATTTCAATAAGATCCTGAAACTTTTCAGTAGCAGACAAGAAAAATAAAATATAACTATAAAAAGAAGCAAGCCGTAATAGACAAGATGCTAATTTGCATCAAGAATGTATAAGATTTTAAAGTCAGCTTAATAAAATCACAAATCCATTATCATTAAGCAGGGCTGGCCAACCTGTGAGGCATACACCAAAAGTAGCACATTGCATGATGAGATACAGTGTGTTGTATTCCAGTGGTTTTAGTCAATCATTTTACAACTGATGATATAATACTAAAATGTGAGGCTTTATTTCAGTTTTGTTATTCTTTCGGGGTTTTTTTTTTTTGGGGTCATTTCCTTATAACAAAAAAGAAAATGATCCAGAGAAAAAACAGAAAATGATAAATTTAAATTCAAAAAACAATGGAAAAATGAGAAGCCTGCATACTCGTAGATATTTTCACTTAGCAACTAAAAAGTCATGAAAATACCCAGTGACATGAATTAGACTAGATTATTGAAAATAGAATTTGACAAGCTTCTGAAATTCTTTTGACATTATTGAGACATTCAATGTCAAATGAACAAAGGTCTGACTATTGCTGACATGGATTTCTTTTTTCAAATTTGGTACACTTATAAAGCTTTGTGATAACGAATGGCACCTATTTTACATATCTAGGTCAAAAGGTTACAGAGATATGACCCTTTGACATTTGCCAACAAGATGAATTTTGGTTTGATTTGTTTTATGGGATATCAAACTCAATGGGTTATTTAATGCCGACAAGATTATTATTGCTGGTAATTTTTTTTTTTTTTAAATGTATTGCTGCTAATTATTATTTTTTTTAAATGTTTTGCTGTTAATTATTGTGTTTTTTTTTTGTTTATTTTTAAATGTATTGCTGGTAATAATCTTTTACAAAAGATGTATTGATGGCATTAAAACGTATTTTTACACTTTCATAATATTTTGACCCAAGGTTTGGGGATCAACTATTTTCACATAGCTGGGACGCTAATAGGTGCTACCATCCTGGGCCAGGGTGGACCTGGGAACAGCAAAAAACCTCCTGATCATAGGCCCCGCTGCCAAATGAAGTTTATCATCTTACCCAGGATGCAGATGTAGTGTCATACTCAGGACGGTGAATTTTGGAAAATAGTCACAAAGTTTAAAGATCTAGTTGTTTTTTCACCTACAAAGCTAAATTACATACCATTTTTAAAGTAGTTAGATAGATCTAAAAGATGATCTATGTTTTTTGTTTAGAGGTCAAATAATTTGACCAAAAAAAATGTATCTTTAAATTTTTTTGAAAAATGTGAAAAAGACTTTTTACAATTTAACAAGTTAGTTAATATTTTCAAAAACTGATACACTCTCTAACCTTTTTGTATGCTGTTTTATTTGTTTTGAATATCTGATTTTTTTTTTTTTTGTAACATTCAATATATTTGAAAACTAGAGTATCTATTTTTTTTAAATTTTTGCAATGCATGTTCAAAACACCCATTAAAAAAAAAAAAAAAAAAAAAAAATTTGTTGTTAAAACTTAGGGAATGAATTCCCCAAATACTATATAATGTTTAATCAATGTTTTGTTACCTATGGACTTAATCACCTTTAGCAGAAAGAGTCAATATTAGAAGATCAAAATTACTGTGAAATTACAATGAATCGGAATTCTTGAGAAAAAAGGTCTAGAATTGGTAGCTTTGAGAGACAGTTAATTAAATTTATTGGATTTATTCCCCAAATATTATAGTTTTCAAATATTGTGCCACCTTTTGCTACTTTTAGGTGATATTTCTCAATATGTGTGGTTGGCCACATAAAATGTTTATTTTTTTCACCTGGAAACTGTTAATATCTACTTTTTTTGTTACTCCCTGTAAAATTCTAAGGGGATATTTGAATTCATTGACTAAAAATCTATAAAAGTATCAAATTTCATTAATTTCTGGCCAGTGAATCAGAAGACACAAGGGTTTTTGTTAGATCATTAAGCTTTAAAATGGAAATGTCCACTGACGGAAAATGTTGATTCAGCAAAATTTCAACTTACGATACCTTGAGAAGGTCTAAGAATTTTCACTTAAAATCTTCAGGATAGTGCCTATAAAATCTACAACATAAAAAAAAAAAAAAAAAACTATTTTTTGAGGGGTTACATTGATTGGTTGAATCAACATGTAATGACCCAAGAGTGAAGAAGTCAGCAGAATGATGCTTGGAAAATGATTATAAGACAGAATTAAAGAATGGTAGAACAGTTCAAGAACAACAATATCTTGGACTCTGTAGCCTGACAGAGGCATCACAATTATTTAAATCAAAGAATCCAAACAGAATTTTAGAAAAACACATGTCACTGGCAAAAAGAGAAGCAGACTGAAATTATATTTTCATTAGCAAAAATGAATCAAGGCATGAAAGCAGAGAATGAACCAGTTGCATAGGGTAGGACTATAAAAATTCGATCCATCCTAACAGATAGATGATCTGGTTTATGTTTTCGCTAAGACAACAACCAGCCCAATGATGGAAAACAGTGTGTCTCATTGTTGAGAATTTAGGTAAACAAAAAAGAACCAGTGCTGCAATTATGACAACCCTCAAATCTTCCACTGCATGGGCAGCATTAATGGGGGTTGAAGCAACCAGCAATCAGCTTGGACCAACGAAGAGTTAGCCCTGTGGTTAAAACATCGTCCTAAAAACCTGAGGACCGGACCACTAAAAGTGGCTATACCACTGGGTGTAGGTGGCAAAAGGTGTTATAGTACATAGTTTCATTCCAATGTCTCAGGGAGAAGTAGGAAGTAACAGTGTCAACTCAGGATGAAAGAAAAACAATCTTAACATCAATTCATGACACTTTTTAATGTATGTCACAGTTTCATATAAAATCTATTTGTTTTAATAAAAATGCAAACAAAACCAAAAATAAGGTTGTTTATTTTTCATCAAATTAGTCAACTTTTGAACACAAATATTCTGCTGATTTTATGACTATAGTTCTTATATGAATATTAATCAGTATTCAAAGAGCTTTCTAAAGATATATAACTTGGCCATATTGAGAGATATGAAAATGTAGCATAAAGTAGCATATGCCAAAATCCACCATTTTGAATTTGGCACAAATCAGTAAAATTCTTGTAGTCCAGGCCACAATCAAAAGGCCACCACAAAATTTTGTACATATCTTAGGTAGACAAATATGCTGTCAAATTGAGAAAAAAAAAAAAAAAAAAAAAAAAAAAAAAAAAGAAAAAAAAAAGCTTTTTGAGAAATTAAAGATCAAAGGATAAAGTCAAATTATTTCATTTGACCTCTAAACAAAAAAAAAAAAAAAAAATCAATCAATCACATTTTAGATCTATCCAAGTACTTTAAAATCATGTGTGTGTGTGTGTGTGTGTGTGTGTGTGTGTGTGTGTCAGTGTTCGTTTATTTTTGGATTTCCTAGATTTTCAACATTTTTCAACAAAACTTCACAGGAATACGTAAAATTACTTTGCGGTGGTTCTGACAGCGCCAAAAATGGGAAAAACAATTGTTTTTGCATGAAATCAATTTGAAAACACGATTAAGAGACATCACTAACACGAAAATAAAAGGGGGAACAACTCATATCGAGTTATACTTATTATAAAACCCAGGTTGTTTGTGTGTGTGTGTGTGTGTGTGTGTGTGTTCCTTTATATATGGGATCAGATTTCCTACATTTCTCAACCGATTTCAACAAAACTTCACTTTTTTTTTTGGCAGGTAGTGTTTCTTATTGTCTTGCACACTTTTTTCTTTATTTTTATATTCAGAATGCTTTAAAAATTCCATTTACAAGACAATTGTTTATAATAAAATTCTATTCAATCAGTAGACTCATAACGATTGAAAACAATGTTTTCGTTTGACCAATTCGTAAAAAAAAAAAAAAATAACTAATTAAGACATGCGTGTCCGTCAACCTTAAACAATAATCTTTGTCGATTTTATTTTTCAGTCTTTATGATGCTCAATACTTGATCTATCTCTTACTGTTACATCCTCGGGCAATGCCGGGCTCTACTGCTAGTGCAATATAATTTAGCTTTGAAGGTGAAAAAACAACCGAGATATTGATCTTTAAACTTTGTGATTATTTTCCAAAATTCACCTTGTTGGCAAATGTCAAAGGGTCATATCTCCATAACCTTTTGACCTAGAGATGTAAAATAGGCACCATTCAATTTCTATCATGAAGCTTTAAACGTGTACCAAATTTGAAAAACGATCTGTCTTGGTGATGGCCAGACCTTTGTTCATTTGACATGAAATAACTATGCTCTCTGGCAATCATTACTCTGTATACCAACTTCCAGAAATAAGAAAGTTTGCTACTTTGGAATGACATTTAGATATGAACAAATGTTTTCAGCAATGAAATGGATTAATAAAAATGTTTAAAAATTGCAACTAAATGATCAAAATTTAAATTCCCTGTTGCTTCCAGTAATTAATTTAACTTCAAACCTGACAAACTGAAAACATGACTCAAAAGGCTTATTTAGGGAAGTAATGTTCATCTTGTTTTTATATTAAAATCAATTATATAAAGATATTGTGTAAAGAAAAACTAATATATGAAAGGTTAGCCATCCCTGTCATAAAACAACTTAATCATTGCTAGCTGCTTGAAATTTTCATACAAAAGTATTTGGTTTTAAATGTCATAATTCCATGTTAATATATCAAAGAATATTTTTTCTCTCTAAAAACATGAAAAGAACTGAATAGAAAAAAAAAGAAAAAAGCTCACAATATAAATAATCATGAATTCTTGCCAATACATACGCAGTAAAATCTGCTGCTCCTGTAGCAGCACGAGTAGCTTCACTGTTTAAGGCTGCTCCCCACACTGCTCCTTTATGGCCTTCAAATGTACCAATCCAGTCTCCAGTCTCACCTTGACGCAACATGGGTTTCCCATCTGAATGAAATGAATTACAAAATAACACAGAAATAACAGAAAATAAAATTTTTCATAATAAATGAGAAAAAGAAAAATACATTTAAATATATTCAAGATTCCTCTTCTTTATATTATGTTAAATTAAACATCAGTGACAAAGAGCTATTTAGGACAGATTGTGCAAGAATAGAGTCAACATTTTAAAATCAGATTGTAGTTTTTATACATATCTGTTCAAAAAACTAAGAAATGACTGCATATAAAGACCAAAATTTGTGTAAGTATAATCCACCTATTTGGAAATGTATAATAAAAAGAACTCCCTAGAATCAGAAACCTCTACTTTTTATAACCTAATGAGGAATGATAAAAATCAGAAAGAAAACAAATCAAAGAAATTCCATCCTCAAGTTGAATTTTAGACAAATTATTTCAATTTAGTGGCATATCAACAATTGTTGATATGTCACTTGTTAATGCTGAAATTTTTATGAGCATGTGTCGGGTTTTTTTTTGGGGGGGGGGATAGAGAGATTCTTGTTCTACTGTCCATATGTAGGGATATGTATCACCTTCAGAGATGTTAATAGGTGCAAGTCCTGCATTCTTGACACATAAAAATCTTAAGGGACACAGTAACTTTCCCATCTGTGTGTCCCAGGGACACAACTAAAGTTTCCCAAGAAAAGTGATATATTTCATAAAACCAACACATAAGTTAAGAGAGAGTTAAAAGGTCTTTGATGTTTGTAAAAAAAAGACATTAATTTAAAATGTAACTAATATATTCTTTCTGTAAACAAACATAAATCATTTGTCAAATAAACTTGATAATGGTGGTAATTAGTACATAGTTATTTAATAATTTTTTTTTTTTTTTTAACATTTTGTATTTTTGTCATTAGCATACTTTTAAAAACTGAGTTCAAAATGTTTTAACAAGCAGAGACAATTATATTTAACACTCGTCTCACTGTTCAAATAACATTAAACAGGGCTCAAAAAATGTCTTCACACTAAAGAAATTTTCATGTACGAGTTGGTACAGACTGAGGGCAGGCTAATATTTTTTGTAATTTTAAATAATAATAAACACCGCATTAACCATTTGATGTTCTTTCAAATACTTTTGACTAGTTCTTTCTTTCATTGGGTGGTGGGGAATGTGAGGGTAGCTTGAAATAGAGATCAATGTCACCTTACCAGACTGATTATTATCTATTGCTGAGCCTGAACTCATTGAAGTTTTTCAACTGTTGCTTTAAATACTGTTTTTAAATTTATTGATTCAAGTGGAGATAAAAAAAACAAAAAAATTTTGTTAATTTAAAAACTTTGTTCTGTCATAATTCACAAAAAAAATATAGTTTCTTAAACGAACTGTGATTAAGTGTAAATACAGGGTGCAATGGGTAAATTGTTGACATTTTATATTTTTAAATTTTGCGCATGCATGTTTGTTTTTGTTGACTGCACAGTATAGTATGGTCATTTGGGAACAGTCTGTGAGAAAAAAAAAAAAAAGAGAACCATGATGCAATTTACTCCGACAGAAATTTGGAAACAGCATGCGGTAATGCTTGGCAGTTGCACTGGAAGCTCCAATGTGAACATTTCAGTGTTTGGGTGAGGTCAGTGCAGAGGATTCAGAAAGAGTCAGATGATATATCCAGTCAATCTCATGGTGTTTGGAGTGATCGCTAGTATTATGCTTCCATTCATCTTCCAACAGGGCCCCAGAATCAAGACAAAGGCCTACATCAAGTGCCTTGAGGAGATAGTACTGCCCTGGATCAAGAGGGTGACTGCTGGAAGACTATGTCTGGCAAGAGAACTCTTCACAATGCCACACAAACAGGAGAACCAAGACATGGCTGTCAGACAATTTCTGTGACCACATCACCTCTTACATCTGGCCACCTAACTCCCTTGACTGCAACCCCCTTTATTATATGTGGGGTGCAGTTGAGCAAGAAAACAAAAGTCCTTGTAGCACCAAAGATGAACTAAAGGCAAAGATTATAGCAGCATTCACCAACTTACAAGGAGATCATCCAGAAGAGTTGCAGGATATGATTGAAGTCAATGACGATTATATTAAATAAACTTACTCTTTAGTATTTCAAGATATTTTGTGTCATTTTGGTAAATACATCTTTTAAAATGAGATGTCAGTGTTATTTTCATTTTTGCATAATTTAAACAATTTATCCATTGCACTATGTACTGCTGTTTTTGTATTAATTAAAAAAAAAAAAAAAAAAAAAAATTCTGTACTGTCAATTTAATTGATTCAGAAAAACAAAACCCAAACAAACAAAACTTTAGTTGAGACCTGTTGAATATCCCAAGGACAACCCTGTGAAATCACCATCTGCAGGTCCCGGGGATTGACTTCATTAAAAACCTATCAGCATCACTGCATCTTTTTTCAGTACAGCTCAGTTATTGCTCACTTTGTTTCCACAATTAGTAAATCTGTTATACCAGGCTCAGTTATTATGCCACCAAATTTATAAACCAATGCTACAATCCACTAGGTTACTGTGGAACATTCCTGAACCTATAACTTGGAGCCTTAAATCTAATGTTCTTATTGCCAGCCTGCTAATATCCTTTGCTCCTTTTTCCATCTTTTGACCTGTTGGTATATGTTTGTACATAAAATAGTTGTTTGATTATTTAGAAATGTTTTTGAAATGTGATGTGGTTTATATATTTTAATGTACTAGAATTTTTTTGCAACATGCTGACACGTGTTGAAATACTCACAGTATTTAGTATTGTTGAAGTTATCACTAATATTTTTTATTGAGATTTACAAACTCTACATTTTGTTCAATTTCACAAACCAATTGAGGAAATTTGAATAAAGATGATTTGTTTGGAAAAATACTTTGACAAAAACCCTACTTCTCAGTTTAATAAATTCTTTTAATTTTATAGAATTTCATGGTAAACAATATTTTTTTAAGAAAATTTTTTTCCACGACTCTTGAAATGCTCTGCCAATTTGAAATTCTCCCTACTGCACTTACATTTACAGTGCTACAACTGTGCATTATGTTACTAGAATGAATCTATCTATAGAAGGCAGGATATGTGTGTGTGTGTGTAATGAATGCACAGCTGCAATTTGACAGATTTACACCAAAATCTACATGCACAAAGTTAGCGGGAAGGCCAAGACCGACTTTGTATTTATTTCCCAACTCCCATCGATAGTGGAAATAATCGATTTTTTCATGCTTCTACGGCAGTTTTCATGTAGTTTGCGGCCATTTTCTACTGGCCAAAATGAGAGCCTATAGCTGGCTGCCACAAATAGGCAGGAAGATTCTATTGGCCAGCATGAGAGCCAACAGCTGACTGGCACGAATGTTAACTAGCATGCAAAAAAAAAAAAAAAAAAATCAATAGCTGCATTCGTCACAAGTGGGAAAAAATTTAAGTCTGCATAGCACTTTACTCCAATTGGCTCATTCACTTGCTTAAACTCAATGTTGATTCTGATTCCACAGAACTGGGTTGGGTGTGAAAAAGTATTTGTTATTAACATTCTTTTTTCACACAGTTTTTCCAGTTAGGAGTCCTTTTTTTAAAGCTGATCATTTTGTGTTCATTTTGTTTAGTTTTTTTTTGTGACAGATTTAATGTTTAGTATAGAGCTTAGAAAGGCAAGAAGTAAGGCATGTAGCAACATCAGCACGGCAAGGAAGGTCAAAAATATTTTAAGTCAACTGATAGCAATTGCTGTATGAGTCGTACGATTTTTGAATCAAGCATGGGCAACGCTGGGCCGTGCTGCTAGTCTTATATAAAAACTTAAAGATATGCGAGAAAAAAAAAAAAAAAATTATTAAGTATTTGTTATTTTAATCATTAAATTGTGGGAGTATTTTGCACTCTAGTAAATCCAATTGTACTTTGTACCTGTTCACACCTTTCTCTAAAATTTGGTTTTGATCAGTCAATGTATGGCTATTTTAGAGGGTATGACTGACAGACTAATGGAAGTCACAGAATTTTATATATAGATTGATTCAGCTAAAAATAAAATATATGATTGCTTTAACAGAAAGGATAGGATTTTTGAAATTATGTATTCATACAATTATATCTAATGTAAAAAAAAAATAAATAAAAAAATAAAAATGTTTTGAAAGTCTTTTTTTGCTTCTTTCACTAGTACTTCTTGCAGACAGACTATATTGGGATTGTAATCAGTTTGTAGGCAATTGGTTTCATTGTAGTTATATGTATGATTTCTGCAGTTCCATTACGCGATTGAAGTTCTCTTCCCAGTTGTTTTAATGCTTAGCAGATGTAAACTTGATAGACTTTTTACCAGACTACACTTTCTTGTGATTTGGCTTTAAGAGAAAATCCATATCAATAAAGGAAATGTGCTTTCATGGAAGATCTCTAGAGAGATTTCTGCTGTGAGAAGACTGGCCAACTTGCTGCAACCAATATGTTGCAGCCATCTATTTGGTGTTGATTATCAACCTACATTATCCATAAATACAATCAACTTTGCTTTTAGGTTGTAGTTTGAGCTTACTGTTTGGTTTGATTTTTATCTTTAGGATGGGATGGAATCCGTTTTTTTTTTTTCATATTTTATTTATTTTTGTGGTTTTGGGGTGGTTAAATTTTCAGACATAATTGTCTATTAGAAATGGTAATTGCTCAAAAACTGACTTCACTGAAACTGTTAAGCTGAATCTTCACTTTGTCGAATGATTCATTTTATATAAAAAAAGTATTGTAAAACTAAAGGGAAATAACTTTTATAATTGCATAGTGCATTTTTAAATTATGTATCATTTAAAAAATTTGTTGTTTATTTATGATATTTTCTCTATGAATTCATTACTGAAGTCATTTGAGTAATGTCACTTAATATTTTGTTTTATTCTAGAAATATTTATAAATAAATAAAAAAATGATGGAAAACAAACATTTTAAGATTTCAACATTAAATAATCTTAAACCAACCGACTTGTCAATTATTC